TGTGTATGATATAGTAGCTCTCTACTCAGCACCATGCCTTCCCCCCCACTGACCCAGCCCACCTGCCCCAACTTTTTTCCTTTAAGTATAGAATAAATTCAACAACTTTGTTCCAAAGCTATCCTACTTGTTGGTGTTTCCTTTGAACCTCTTTTCTCTCCTGTGCTTTTTAAAATTTTACTACTTCATTGATACTTTTGTCCTTTACTTTTTTTTCTTTCATTACTATCATCACATCACCACTCCCCTTCTATTTTCTTCCCTCCTCCCCCCAAAATTAAACTATGCACACACACAAACAAAATAAACCTCCCTTGTAATCATCATGCATAGTCTTACAAAACAAATCTTCAACATTGCCCACGAAAGATGTTTCAATGTACAAACATCTACTCCATCATTTGCCCCCTAACAGGTGGCAAGGATATTTTATCATGGATATATTCATTGTTTCTTCTTACAACAGAGTAGTATTCTATTAAATTATTGTAACATAATTTATCGAGGCATTCTACTGTTTGTGGACTACCTTTTAGTCCTTTACTGTTACTGAAAGTGTTGCAAAAATATTTTAGTGGATATGGAGCCTTTCTTTTTTATCATTGACCAACTTATTTAATAATTGAGTCTCTGATTCAGAGGATTTGAAAGGTACAGTTTCAGAAAAACATGGAAAGATTTGTAGTGACTGATCCAGAGAGAAGTGAGCACAACCTAGAGAAGAAAATTATACAACATTGTAAAAAAAAATAACTTTGAAAGACTTAAGAACTGATCATTATAGTGACCAACCACAATTCTCAAGAATTACTGATGAAGAATGCCTTCTCCCTCCTGACAGAGCAGTAGTGGAATCAAGATATAGAATGAGACACACTGGTCATGGCTAGTTTGTTTTGCTTAACTATGTAAATAGTTACAAAGATAATAACCTCTATCCCTTGATTAAAGTTTCTCCCCCGAGTTCTGCCTCCAGGAGCCAAGATGGAAGAGTAAGAAGTAAGCTGCTCTTACCCTCTCTTATTGACCTCTGAAGGCCCAGAAAATATTGACCCAGGAAAAACCCTGAGCCAACAAAAAGTCAGGGTGCTGCAGTCTTGTAGCCCAGGAAGGTTGGGGGATTAATGGGAAAGTCCCCTCTCACTCTGGGGGAGAGGAAGCAGTACAGGATGGGAGACTCCCCAGCAAGCCAGCGGCAAGCCCCATTTCAGCATACCAGGGGGAGATCCTGAGACTCAGGTTGATGGAGCAGGCAAGTGCCAACACCAGGACCCCCTGAGAGCCCCAATACAGGCAGGGGAACTGGTAGACACCAGCTCAGAAAATCACCATAGGTGACGGCGTTCTCCAGCAGCAAAATCACCTGGTGCCTCACCACAATTCTGGGAAGCACAATTGTAGGAGGCAAAACTCCAGGCTCACAGATATCCACCAGCAGTGAAACTTCCCTGTGCAAGGCCTGGGTGAGCAGGAGCCAAACATTCAAGCACAAGGCCTAGGTGAGCAGGAAAAGAAACAGGACAGCTCAACTTTTTTTTTTTTTTAAATCAGGAAATAGGAAAACAACATGCACAAAAAGCAGAAACTGACAATGACCATAGATTCTGATTATGGGGAAAGGGAAGATTAAGGCACAAATTCAGAAGAGGACAACAGTGTCAGTATACTCACATCCGAAAACTCAAAGGGGAATATGAAGTGGTCTCAACCCCAAAAAGCCTTGTTGGAAGAGCTCAAGAAGGATTTTTAAAGTCAAATAGGAGAGGAAGAAGAAAAATTGGGAAAAGAAATGAGAGTATGCAAAAGAGAGTCAATAGCTTGGAAAAGGAAGGACAAAAATAAACTGTAGAAAATGAGTCCTCAAAAAATAGAATTGACCAAATGGAAAAGAAGGGACAAAAACTCACTGAAGAGAACTCCTTAAAAAAAGTAAAATGGGCCAAATGGAAAAGGAGGGACAAAATCTAATAGAAGAAAACAGTTCCTTAAAAATTAGAATGGAGCAAGTGGAAGCTAATGACTCTATGAAAGAGCAATAATCAGTCACACAGAAACAAAAGAATAAAAAAATAGAAGAAATTGTAAAAATAGAAGAAATTGATAAAACAACTGACCTGGAAAATAGATCCAGGAGAGACAATTTAAACATTATTAGTCTACCCGAAAACCATGATGAAAAAAAGAGCCTGGACAACATCCTTCAGGAAATCATCAAAGAAAACTGCCTTGAGGTCCTAGAACCAGAAGGTAAATTAGTCATCAAAAGAATCCACTGATCACCTCCTAGAGATTCCAAATTGAAAATGCTAAGGAATATTATAGCCAAATTCCAAAGTTACCAGATCAAAGAGAAAATACTGCAAGCAGCTGGGAAGAAACAATTAAAATATCATGGAATCACAGTCAGGATTATGCAGGACCTTGTAGCTTCTACATTAAAAGATCAGAGGGCATGGAATATAATATCTACCCAGTGAAACTGAGCATAATCTTTGAGGAGAGGAGATTCAACAAAATAGAGGACTTCCAAACCTTCCTGATGAAAAAACCAGAGCTCAACAGAAAATTTGACCTTCAAATACAAGACTCAAGAGAGGCACAAAAAGGTAAACAGGAGAGAAAAAAAGAACAACATGTCATTAATAAGGACAGACTGTTTACATCACTACAAAGAAAGATGACACTTATTACTCTTGATAACTCTAATGTTATTATGACATTTAAAAGGGGTATACTTAGAGGACATGGGTATAAACTGACTTTGATGTGATGGTAAAAAATCTAATTACATGGTGTAAAGGGATTGTACTGGGAAAAGAGGAAAAGAGGAGGCAGAAAGGGTAAATTACATCACGTGAAAAGGCACAAAGACCTAATAGAGTAGAGGGAAAGAACGGAGGGAGATGAGCATTGTCTGAACCTTACTCTCATCAGATTTACTTCAAAGAGGGAATAACGTAATAAGTTAGGTATAGAAATCTAACTTACCCTATAGGAAGTAGGAAGGGGAAAGGGAAAAGAAAAGGGAGGGGGTGAATAGAAGTGAGGTAAGAAGTAGAAAGGGTAAAAGGGAACAAAAGGGAGGGAGCGAATGGAAGGGAGGGCAGACTGAGGGAATTGGTGGTCAAAATCAAAATTCTACTGAAGAGGGAAAGGGAAAAAGGAGAGAGAAAAACATAAATAGAGAGAGAAATAGGATGGAAAGGAAGACACAGACAGTAATCATAACTGTGAATGTGAATGGGATGAACTCTCCCATAAAACAGAAACAGATATCAGAGTGCATTAAGAACTGTAATC